AAAAAACCTCTGTGGCACAGAAGCATTGAATAATATTAGTACCGATGCCCAGGTTTCAAGAGAGGCGAACATGGAAGTTGTGCACAACACCCTTCAGAGGCTCCGATCCAGCAGATGGGTTGAATGAGGGATGCCCTAGATGAGACTCAGCATTTGCAGTGGCCTCAAACTTTTAGCGATGTTGTTTTGAATAATTACCTCTCCTTCATGATGAACCCTTCAGAAAGCTGAATTGGTCCGTGCAATATTGATTCCGACCGTTGGCTTTCTGAAACTCTCCAGTGGGATGCTTGTGCGTTTATGAGCCCACCAAGACCAGAGGATGATGAGCCAAGACCAAACGGAAGGCAATTTTGAATCCCTTGAGGGAGCTAAGAGCAACGACCTTTTCATGGTTCAAGAGAAACTGGGCTCGGGGACAGTATCACAAAACAGCTTGTGCTCAACCCGGGGCATACATCAGGCAATACTTCCACCTTAGCCAGTAGTTGAGATGATACTTGACTTGTTTACCGTGAAGGTGCTTCAACTATCAGAACAGATGAGCAACCTAGAATAAAAATAGTTTGAACAAAAATGAGGACCACCCCTGAAGAAGGCTATGTCACAGCCGATCTACAAGAAATGTCTTGGGTGGTACCTTCGCAGTTCAGTGATTCACTTTATCAACTGTGAGCATTAGTTCAGTCTTCCCGTCTTCTCACCTTGGTGAGGCCGAGAAAACGTTTCCAGGGAATCCCTACCTGTCCGACACTTTTACTTTTACCAAGCTACAACGTCATTTCAGGATGTACAAGGGCAGGGCAATGTCCGCATGTCTGATGAGGTTCTTCGCATCGTTCATGTTATGTCTTCGTGGAAATCGCTTCAGAATCACATGCGAGGTGTTTACGGCTTCTCAAAGTTGAAGACCCGAAGTATAATCGAGTTTCGATGGGGTTTCAACATGTGACAGGAAAAGGAAAAGGCAGTGAAATATCATTTGACGTTCTGCTTCTGACCAGAAAACCTCCCAGTGAGGAAAGGCGTGGAATGGGCTAGGTTCTTACAAACGGGTACTCTTCTTTACTCTTACCCAAAAGTTTTATATGCATCTAATGACCCATTCGTCACATTCAAGATGGCTTCCCTGAATTTACTATCTACATCGATTTCTCTGGAAAAACAAATATTATATGTCGCTACTTGCTCACTTCCTTTGCTTGAAACATGCGATTTCAAGAAAATTGCCCTAGTTTCAGTAATCGTTGAACTTTTTTCGCAGTACCCTTTTTTCGACCAAGCCTACAGCTAATT